CACTGTTATTTAGGGATTCCCTGTTGGAATCCCTCCTTAATTGGGAAGATTTTAGAAAATTCTAGAACTTTCTGAAGAACTCTAGAAGTGTAGAATTCTCTAGAAGCGTGTGGAACCCTCTAGAATATTCTAGAGATGTGTGGAACCTTCTGGAACATTCTGGAAGAGTATGGAATAGAATGGAGGAGTGTAGAAATTCCTTAGAATTCTCTAGAAAGTAAAGATATATGTAGAGAATTCTAGAGAGATAATCTCTACCCTTGGATCAAATTAATCCCTACCACTCATTATGAAGGTGGAGTAGTATAAATAGGGGTGGAAGTCTTCATTCCTATCTATCCAAGACAAGAAAACAATCAACTTCCTAGAGTGAGAGAAAACATCTAACGTAGAGAGTTAGAGAGTCTCTTTGAGAGAGAAGTGAGATAGCTTGAGAGTCCTAATCCTCAAGCTCGAGTGAGCCATCGAAGTTAGATAGTTTTGTAAAATATAATTCTTGTAATCCTACTATTCTTTTGTATAGCGGAAGAACCTTCATATTGGAAGACCATAAACTCTTGTGCTCTCATTACTATCTTAATTTATAAGTGCCTATCCTAACTTCGTGAGGTAGAAAAGACCGAGTTTTCCCAATAGTGGTATCAGAGCAGGTTAGTCGTGAAGTTCAAGATGGAGGATAACGTCACTCACGATGGAGACATGTTCAAGCTCACAGCCTACAACTACTCATATTGGAAGCCGATGATGGATGACCATCTATACTGTAAGAATTTATATGAGCCCATCATCCACAAAACCAAGGCAGAAGGAAAGAGCGATGCAGAGTGGGAGCTGCTAAATCGGAAGGGCGTTGCTATGATTTGTAAGTATATTGATAAAACTCTCTTTAAACATGTTTCTACTTATACAAATGCTTATGAATTATGGACAAAGCTTGAGTCCGTGATTCAAAAGAAAACGCCTCATAATAAAGCCTATTTAGTTCGACTGTTGGTGAAGTTGGAGTATAATGATAGTCAAAGTATGATTGAGCACTTGAATAATTTCAAGGGGCACGTAAATCAACTAACAAAAATTGACATGAAGATTGATAATAAGTTGTAAGCCCTTCTACTCCTTAGTTTCCCTGCCAGAAAGTTAGGACACTCTTGTGGTTACACTTAGTAACTCAGCTCCGAAAGGAAAGCTCGCCATGGATACCTTCAGTGATAGCCTTCTCGGTGAAGAAGTAAGGAGGATGGAACGAGGCGAGTCTGTCCATCCCGAGGTAAATGTTGTTGAGAACCAGGGTAGGAATGAAGGTCATGGACGCAGCAAGAGTCGAGATCCGCACCAATCTCGAGGTCGATCCAAGTCACGCTCAAAGATTACATGCTACTACTGTGGAAGGATAATCCACAAGAAAGTAGAGTGTTGATCCTTCAAGAGAGATCAAAAGGTCGGTAATATTAAGCCAGACCAAATCAACCCAACGAAGAAATGAAAAGAGAAGAGCACTATTGCCGTGATTGCAAAAGAAGAACTGTATTATCTCATTGGAGAAGATAATACCCTAAATATTTCTTATGATGATAGTTGTTGGATTATCGATTTTGGTGTTGCCTTCCATGTCACTCCCCATGGAAGTTTCTTCTCATCCTACCAAAGTGGTGACTTTGGTATAATGCAAATGGAAAATCAAGATATGCGAAAAAAATTTAGGATAGGAGACATCATCCTGACAACAAGCACTGGATGCAAGCTTG